CCAAATAAGAACAATTGAAAACACCATTGCTCCATTTCAAGGACAAAATCGTCAATTTGATAAAATAAAAATTAGTTTAATAAAAATCAAAATCAAAAAATTATTTTTGAATTGTTAAAAATTATTTCTACTCACTAAAGATAAAATTATATAAAAATGATAAATCTTTTACATTTTTATTTTTTTTCCAAATTAATTTTTACTATGTGCTTGGATGATAAATGGGTCGTTATTTTTGTTGATATTTTTGGATGGTTATCATGTAATTTTTCAGCGACAGTTTGAAAAATTCATTACAAAAAGGTCACTAATTGTAAGTTTTAGCGACAATTTATAAAAACCGTGACAAAAAAAAGTTAATAATTGTCAATTTTTAGAGATATATGCAAAAAATCGTCATAATTTTTTTTTTTTACCGACAATTTTACTAATACTTATTTTCAATAGAACTTAATGAGAAATGCCCTCAGTTGGCAAGCACACTCATTTGGCAAGTGCTTGTTTTAGCCTAAAAGTCAAAAAGTTATTAAAAAAACCAAAAAACCTATAATATATACCAAAAAGTCAAAGATTTTCTTTTCTCTCTACTTTTTGCACATCTTTTCGTAAAAAATCAAAAAATTATGCCAAACATATTAGTTTTTTTTTACCTCATATTTTAGCAAAAAGCCAAAAAATTACTAAAATAGCATGTTCGAGTAACTTTTTGGCTTTTTGCTAAATTATGAGGTAAAAAAAACTAGTATGTTTGGGATGACTTTTTAGTTTTTTACGAAAAAATGTGCAAAAAGTAGAGAGAAAAAAGAAACCTTTGACTTTTTGGTATAGGTTGTTGGTTTTTTTTTTTTTTAGTAACTTTTTGACTTTTTGACTAAAATCATCACTTGCCAAACGACTTGAAATGAAAAGCATCAAGACATGACTAGGTTTCATGTTTCTTAAATACTTTTCAAGTCATAGAGACGAATTTGTTGTGCCTAGTAAGGGGTGAATAGCCCAAATTAGGATATGACATCGTATTGGTTGACATTTTCCATTGCCTACCATTGTTAGTTACGAAAGTAGTAGTGTTTTTTTTTTTCCCTTCAGAATTTTTTTGGCTTCTCTTTTGCATTGGTGGTGGATATCCATTTTTCAGTTTGATGGCTCTGATTGTTATTGCATACTACTTGATTGGTATGGGCCTTTGGACATGACAGAAGTGCCCTTGGTTGGTGCTATGTTCTTGTGAATAGGGTTAATAAAGCTTGACATAGGTGGGCCCATATGGGCTTTTGGTCCACCACTTAGAGCCCAATCCACGGTTTAAACACTGAAGCCCAATACCACTGAAACCCAATGTTGCACCAAGAACCAATGGCATCTCGACACTTGTCAAGAGGAGAACCAGTCACGTAAGCAGACAAAGATCCTGTAGAGTTATTGCACCACACATCAGCCATTAATGAGGCCCCAGCAGCATTAAATGCGATAACCCCTTCACGTCGGAACAGAGCAGCCTCACCATGGACAAGGCAAGCTAGAGCATAGACTTTCGGCCAACATGACAGGTCGGAGGGGACAAGGAAATGATGAACAAAGGATATAAGGAGGTTTCCAAGACACAAAGAAGGTTAAGTTCCTTATCATCACCTATCTCTACATTCCATTAGTCTCTCTCTTTTCTAACTTGCTCGTCGGAGGGTTCACTGGGGGACTCCCGTTCTTCGTTGGACTTTTGTGCAGGTATCTAAGTGAGCCCAACGACCGGACAACGGAGTTGGGAGCGTGGATCAGGCCGACCCGTCCACCAGTGATCCAAGCACTATCAGTTGGCGCCTTCTGTGGTAACGCTTCACTCCACGTGACAATAGTGCTCATTGTCGCCAAAGACCCATTCCCGATAATCCCTCCTCGCCAACCACGAAGGTGGATGGTCACAACGAGATCCATGGATTCTCAACACAAAGTTGCCGACCCCCAAGCCGACCCTCCTAGCCCAAACAACCCACCTCAGTATTTCACAAAACTCACCAACAGCATCAACCGCTTAGCCGAACAAAACCAAGCCTTGATCAATGCTCTGCTTCAGCGAGACCTCCCTGTGCCTCCTCCGCCACCACAAGATATCCCTCATAACCGAGAACGAACCCTGAGCCATCCTTTCCAACAAGCCCACCTTTCCAACCCGAAAGGTTTGCGACCCCCACCTCAAGACATGAACTCGCCACCTCGGGGCTTATATCCATCAGTTCAAGCACCTGTTCTCGAAGGAGAGGCCAGCAGTGTCCAGCCCCCATTGCATTCCGATGGTGACAATGTTCCTATCTGGGATGCAGAACTCCGAGCCATAAAACTCTAGCTTCAAGGAGTCATGCAGAACATACACAATAAGCCCTCCATAACAGCCAATTCCCCGTATGTCACCTCCATCAGGGACAAACCCCTACCTCCCAAGTTCAAAATGCCCTCGATCAACTCTTTCGGCAGCACAACGGACCCAGTTGACCATTTGGAGACTTATAGGACCCTAATGATCCTCTATGTTTTCCCTAATGACATCATGTGTCGGGCTTTCCCTGTAACGCTTAAGGGGTCGGCTCGACTATGGTTTACTCAGCTGCCGGCAGACTCCGTCTCTACTTTTCAATACCTCAGTGATTCATTTCTTAGCCATTTCATTGGTGCTCAACACCAACGGCGCCCGGTGACTCAGCTCCTTAACATTCGTCAGACGGAGGGGGAGTCGCTACGTAGCTTTGTCACCCGTTTCAGCACAAAGGCCTTACAGGTGGCGGAAAACGAAGACAAGGTCATTCTTACGGCGTTCATGGCCGGTTTACGATCATTCGACTTCCTTTTTTCCCTCTCCAAAAACCCTCTAACCTCCATGGCCACCCTCCTCTCCAAAGCCCAAAAATATATAAATGTCGAAGATTCTCTGGTGGCCCGCCAAGATACCACTATCAAAAACCCAACCCCCAGAGAGAAGAAAAAGGAATCCGAAACCAGGCCCTCCCAATATACACAGCAAACCCCCCAGTATACCGACCGACCGGCACCCACCCGACCGCTTGGTTGGTTCGAGCGGAACACTCCCCTCAATTCCCCCATGGAGCAAGTCCTAAACCAAATTCAACGAGATTACAACCTAAAATGGCCCCAACCATCACGGTCACATTCCAACCGGAGAGATTAATCCAAGTCAGGACCACGGCTACAATACTGAGGAATGTGTTAACCTCAAAGACCAGGTAGAGAGTTTGATACGCTAGGGTCACCTCAGTCGGCTCACGGCAGCTCGTCCCCAGCAACAGCCAAGGACCAAACCTACCAGGGGCAACCACCGACATACCCCCCCTCACCAACCCGTATAACCTAACCAAGACAATGATCGACAGCCACCTCAACCCCTAGCACAAGGCAACCCTCCTCCCCCAGTTGGAGAGATCAGAGTCATCGCTGGCGGGCTTGCATGCGGAGGACCATCCCGCTCGGCCCAGTGAGCTGAACTCAGAAAAATCAGACAGGGCTCCGATAAAAAAGTCGCGACATTGGATCGTCCCTTCAAACACCCCAAACAGTGGATTTAACCCATCATCTTTATGAGGGCTGACTGCACAGGCGTTTGTTACCCCCACGATGACCTCCTTGTCATCTTTGTTTTGCTGTCCAATTACAAAGTCAGGTGGGTGCTCGTCCACAACGGCAGCTCTTTAGACATCATCTTCCTGAATGCCTATCGCCAGCTCAAGGTGGGACAAGAAAAATTATCCCCTCTCCAGACCCCGCTGGTCGGCTTCACGGGAGATCAGGTGACCTCCATAGGCTCCATCAATCTTCCCATCACCATCAGAGAGTATCTGCAGCAGACTACCAAGTTACTCACTTTCCTCGTCGTCGATTGTCCTTTTGCTTATAACATAATTCTCGGCCACACAGCCCTTAACGCTTTTCAAGTCGTCACATCCACATATTATCTGGCCATGAAATTCCCCACCGACCCCGGGGTCGGCACCGTGAGGGGCGAGCAGACAGTGACCAAAGAATGCTATGTCGCCTCACTCAAAGAGGTCAAGCTAAAAGAGGCTATGATCATCGAAGGCCTTGACGTCAGAGACAAAGACAAGTTAGTCAGAGGGGAACCGGTGGAAGAACTTGTCGAAGTCTCCTTCGACCCTACGAACTTAACGAAAACAGCCAGGATCGGCAGCCAACTATCCTCCCGGGCCAAGGCTGACCTCACAGCCCTCCTAACCGAGCACAATGATGTATTCGCCTAGACCCATTCTGACATGCCAGGCATCGATCCCTCTTTCATCACTCATCGTCTCAGTATCGAGCCCCACTTCCGACCTTTCTGCCAGAAGCAGCGTGTCTTTCACCTAGAACGCAATACCTTCATTGCCTCTAAGGTAGACAAACTACTGAAGGCACGGTTCATCAAGAACATAGACTACCCCAGATGGCTGTCCAATGTGGTCCTGGTCTATAAAAACAATGGTAAATAGCGATTCTGCGTCGACTATTTTGACCTTAATCGAGCTTGCCCCAAAGATAGTTATCTTCTCCCCCAGAGAGACCTACTGGTCGATGCCACTACCGGGCATGAGATGCTTAGTTTTATGGATGCCTTCTCCGGCTACAATCAAATTCTGATACACCCGGCTGACCAGGAACGCACCTCCTTCATCACAAACAGAGGAACTTACCACTATTGAGTTATGCCGTTTGGATTGAAAAATGCCGGAACAACTTACCAACGTCTGGTCAATGCAGTCTTTCACCACCAGATAGGCCAGAACATGAAAGTCTACGTTGATGACATGCTAGTCAAGAGTAAACTCTCCTCTGATCATCTAACAGACCTGCGGGAAACCTTCAAAACCCTACGCAAGTATCAAATGAAGCTAAATCCGGAGAAGTGCGCCTTCGGCGTGGGATCTAGGAAGTTCTTGGGCTTCATGGTCAGCCAACGGGGCATCGAGGCTAACCCCGAAAAGATCAAGGCCCTGATAGAGATGCGGTCTCCCAGAATGATCAAGGAGGTTCAACGGCTTACCGGCAAAGTCGCCGCTCTCAATCGTTTTATTTCCCGCGCAACAGACAAGTGCCTTCCATTTTTTAAAGTCCTTCAACAGGCTTTTGAATGGACCACCAAATCTGAGGAGGCCTTTCAACATCTAAAGCAGTGCATGGCCAACCCTCCCCTACTCTCTCAGGCGCTCTCAGGCGAAATCCTCTTCCTCTACTTAGCTGTATCAAAAACCGCAGTTAGTGCGGCCCTCATCAGGGAAGACAGCTCAGTACAGCGTCCAGTCTACTACATTAGCCGCGCTCTCAAGGGGGTAGAACAGAACTATCCTCTGCTGGAGAAAATGGCCCTTGCCTTGGTCATAGCGTCAAGGCGACTCCGACCTTATTTCCAAGCTCACTCCATAGTGGTTCTCACTGACCAGCCTTTAAAGAAGGTCATGCAACAGCCAGAGTTGTCAGGCAGACTTATGCAATGGTGCATCGAACTAAGCCAATTTGAAATCTCTTACCGATCTCAAACAGCGATCAAGGGACAAGCCGTCGCTGATTTCATCATAGAATTCACCAATCCCACTCCAACTATGCCCCCACCGCCAACACAATTCAACACTGAGACAGAAGACCCCCATTCTTGGACCCTCAATGTCGATGGATCATCCCGCAAAGAAGGCGGCGAGGCTGGTCTCATCCTCACCGCCCCCGAGGGTGGTTATTTCAAGTGTGCCCTCCGTTTCTTGTTCGACGCAAGCAATAATGAAGCCGAGTACAAGGCCTTGATAGCAGGCCTTCGACTAGCCCGAGACATTAGTATAAGCCATATCTAAGTATTCAGTGATTCCCAATTGATCGTCAGACAAATTATAGGGGACTTCGACACGAAGGAAGACACGATGCGAGCCTACAGGGACATTGCACTCCCTCCTGTTCGCCTTTTCAATACTTTCCATATCAAACACATCCCTCAGTCAGAAAACTCTAAGGCAGACAAAATGGCCCAATTAGCCTCAGCCGACCAGTCAGACCTTAGCCATGGCGTCCGCATTGAATCCCTAACCCATCTGGCTACTTCGCCAAACCAGCAGGAGGTTCACTTCCTCCAAAACGAGCCTATCCCATGGGCTGCAGACATCTTTTTGTTTTTGACAAATAGGGAGTTGCCAAACAATAAACAGCAAGCCACCAAAGTCAGAGCCCAGTCATCCAATTACATCCTTATTAGCGGCCTACTGTACAAACGCAGATTCTCAAGCTTATACCTCAGGTGTCCCAGTCCAACTCAAGCGACCTACGTAATGAGGAAAGTCCACGAGGGTGTGTGTGGTATCATTCGGGTGCAAGATCTCTGGCCCACAAAATCCTTTGCACCGGTTACTTCTGGCCTACTCTCCACCAAGATGCCACCAATTTTGTACTTAAGTGTGATAAGTGCCAGCGCTTTGCCAACATCCCCCATGCCCCACCAACAGAACTAATTGCGCTTTGCAGTCCCTACTCCTTCGCCAAGTGGGGCATCGACTTAGTTGGTCCATTGCCCACCGGAAGGGGTCAAACCAAGTTCGCTGTAGTTTCCATTGACTACTTCACTAAATGGGTAGAAACGGAACCCCTTGCTACAATCACTGAGCGGAACATAACCAAGTTTATCTGGCAATTGATCGTGTGCCGATTTGGAATCCCCCAAGCCATCGTCTCAGACAATGGCAAACAATTCGACAATGCCAAGTTCAGGAAATTCTATGCAGAGCTCCACATTAGACCATGCTTCTCTTCCCCAGGCCATCCCGAAGCCAATGGCCAAGTCGAAGTCACCAATCGCTCCCTCCTGAAGATCATCAAAACAAAGTTGGAAGCCGCTAAAGGGCTCTGGGCTGAGGAGCTACCAAACGTACTCTGGGCTTATCGAACTACCGCTCGCACCCCTACTGGGGAGACCCCTTTTCGCCTAACGTACGGTGCTGAGGCGGTCATCCTAGTGGAAATTGGCCTGCTGACCCCTTGGGTTTTGCACAAAGATCCAGAACTCAACGAAGAATTGCGTCGGGCTGACTTGGACCTGATTGAGGAGCTCTAAGAGACAACTGCTGTCAAACGGGCATCATATCAGCAGAAAATAAGAACACATTATAACCGCAAAGTTCAACCATAAGAGTTCGCAGTAGGGGAACTAGTCTTGTGCGAAGCAACCTTTGCCACTAAATATCCTACCAAGGGCAACCTAGCAGCCAAATAGAAAGGACCTTACGTTGTCAAAGCCAGACCCCGCCCAGGCACTTACCGACTCCAAGATATGGAGGGCAAAGACCTCCCTTATCTATGGAACGCCGAGCACTTGAAGCGTTATTTCCAGTGAAATGGTGTCTCATGTTTTTGTACTATTTCATTGTTGTATGTTCCTTTTTGCCGATCTGCACACTTGTCCATTTTCGCCCTTCCATACATAGTGTAAACTTGTGATCAACAAGTTGTGCCTTAAATGACAATGACTTTATATCTCCATTATCTGCGTTGTGTTTCAATAACAACTTGTTAACTAAAAGCCTCAATTAGACTGAGCACGAAGAGCTCAGTCAGACTGAGTTAACTAAAGCCTCACGCTCAGTCAGACTGAGCACGAAGAGCTCAGTCAGATTGAGTTAACTAAAGCCTCAGCCATACTGAGCATGAAGAGCTCAGCCAGACTGGGTTAATTAAAGTCTCAGCCCGACAGAGCCCTCCAAGTCTTAGTCAGAACTAGCATGAAGAATTCAGCCGGTCTGAATCAAAGCTAGTCTTAGTTGTTGCCATACTTAGTTAAAATCCAAGTTCATGAACATCCATTTTCACTACACGTCAACCTGTTTGGTCGTCTTCACCATTTTTGCAAGATAGGTTATTTATTACCATTTTTACTACTCATACAGGTCAGCCTGCTTGGTCGTCTTTACCATTTTTGCAAGAGAGGTTATTTATTACCATTTTTACTACTCATACAGATTAGCCTGCTTGGTCGTCTTTACCATTTTTGCAAGATAGGTTATTTATCAAATTTCACATTCCCAAGTTTTTCTTACCCATTTTTATCTCATCCTACTCAGTCATCCTTACCATTTGCAAATTAACAACACAAAGCAATAACAACAACAATAACATTAACTGAACTCGTCGTTTTATTCACAAAAGTCAAAGTCTATTACATTTTTATTCACAAACTTGCATTTTACAGAAACTACCTCTATTACCAAAAAAACAACAACAAAAACAAACAAACAAAAACAAATGATTTTATACAGTTAATCCCCCTCGCTCGATGCGAGATCTTCTTCTTCAACTCCCTCATCTAGGAAGGTCTGAGTGACGTCGTCTTCTCCTACCTTCATGAGGCTGAAGTCCACGTCCGGGAACAGCTCTTGCGCCTTATACTTGAAAGTCATCCAGCCGCTGTCCTAGAACTGGCTCATCTCGTGCTTGTAGAAGTCAAACCGCTGGAAGCTTTGGATCACTTCCTCTTCACTCCTAACTCCAGCGGCCGCTCCCGACGGCCCAACCGCCCCTCCTCCTCCCCTTCCCCCTCCTTTGCTAAGCTCCTAGCGACCACGGCATCAACGGCTATCTAGAATTCAGCGAACCCCTTGAATTGCTCTACAGCCACCACGCATAGGTTGGGGTATGCCGCCCTCTAAGATGCCAATTTGGCCTTCTCCTCTGCCAGAGCCTTCTCCAATTCCGCAATCCGACCATCAGCTTCTTCTTTGGCTTTGATTGCCTGGTCGTGCAGCTCTTCGTTGTTGGAAAGGGCCTCTTCCAACCTCTCATTGGCATTGGTGCAGGCTTGTTGGAGCACGTCTAGCTTCCTCTTCTCACCAACCAACTTGAACTCTAGCGACACCACCTTGTGGCGCTCCACTTCCAACTCTGACTTGGTCACAACGAGCTCGGCGCTAGCACGCTCTGCCAAAAAGCTCTGCACCACCGCCAGTACTTCTATCTTCTTCGCCCTTTTCACATACTCCAGTCCCTTTGCGCACGCACTCCGAGCGACTTTTCTCTAGCCTGCTGTCTCCACCTTCAGATTGTGCAGCTGCGCCTTCACCCCTTCCAGCTGGGCCCTTAGCGGTTCTCCCTCTATCTTCGCGCGCTCTTCCTTGTTCATCAAGGCAGCCGCCAAGGTCATTGCCTCCATCTGCGCTAAGCAGAACCCCCTCAGGAGGTCGACCTCTGTTAATCGCGCCATCGATCGCACGACCGCATCCTCTACTACTCCAACGAGACGATCAGCAGCGACTTTGGCTTCCCTCCCTTCTTCTATCGACCGACCTGCCAGCGCATGCGCGTGATACATGGCGATCTTCAGCGCGGCACTCGTCTCTGACTTGCTGATCCCAGTTTTTCCTTCACCAGGACTAGGGGTTACTTCTCGTGCAGGTCCCGCCATCGTCACCACTTAGGCACTTGGGCCCTTCTCTTCCACCCCTGTTTGGGCACTTGAACCCTTGTCCTCTTTCACCACTTGGTCATTCTCCCCTTCTGGAGCCTCCTCCACCCTGCTCTCTTTCATCTTTTTTAAAATAAGGGCGCCCTTACTCCCCTTTGTCGCCGCCCTCTTCTTCTTCGTTTTCTTTAACACCGCTTCCACCTCCTATTTGCCTCTCTCCTTCAACGTGTCTACTGGTGGCAGCAGTGGGGCAAAGTCTGTTAGGTCTTTGTCTCCTAACGGTTTGGACCGCGATCGGACCCGCTCCCTCATTACCAGTTTAGGCACGGGCCCTAACTGTGTTTCTTTATACTTATCTGCCTTGGCGAACGCCCTCCGTTCCTCCGCCTCCTCCGCTTTCCTCCTTACCTCCCACTCCTCCTGCGCAAGATCCTTCTCCGTCGGCTGCGGCCCCAAGCTCAATGCAAACAGGGTTGAAGGTCAAACCAAGTCGTCCCACTTTGCACCCTCCTTCTCCCTCCACTCCTTCACCCGCTTCACCCTGTTCTCAGCCTCCGCATCTAACCTTGGCTCCACTGACTTTGTGGGGACTTTCCACATTGTTCAAACCTCCCTCCCACCGTTCGCCAACACATTAGAACCATCTCGGCCTCCACCCCTTCACTGGCGATGGTAAGCCTGCCACTAGACCTCGGCCTGCCACCGCTTGTAAGGTGACCCATGTTTCTTGTTGACCAAAGGCCTTGTAGCAAGAGAAAAATTCCTCCATTGTCATCGTCACCCCTCCAGTCGCCTGTGGCCATGCGATCACGCAAGCCATTAGTATTTTCCAGGTGTTCGACATCCATTGCCCCGGTGCCACCTCCAGCTTGTTAAGTACGTCCACCACTATTTGGGGGAGTGGTAGCCTCAGCCCCCCCCCCCCCCGGCAATGCCTCCTCATACAACGTGAATTATGTCAGTTGTGCATCCGACGCCCTCTCCTTAGATGTGGGCAGCTTCAGCTCTATCTCCGCCGAAATTTGGTACTTCCTTCGTACCTCCCCCAACTCCTCCGCCGTAAATGTCGACTTGTCAGCCTTGGTGTGCTAGTGATCTGGCTCCACTTGGCTAATTGGCCTAGCGGCTACGATCATCGTCGCCAGGCGAGCCCGCGCCACTTGCCTAGCTGCCATCTCCTCCCTCCGCTCTGCTCGGTACTATTCTGCCAACTCCACGGTGTCGTCTTCTCCTAATGAGTCTAGCCTCATAGCTGGCACTTCATCTCGAGCCATTCCTCCTACGTGTCTGCGTATCGCTTCGGACGTTGGCACAAGGAAGTTCGCAAAGTGTTGCAGAGGCGTGTCACACGAAACAAATGAGTTCACCTCTGGGATATGTTGGTTTTTTGCGAGATAAGGTAAGTAAAACGAATAACTCCAAATGCCCATGGTTTGTCTATATTCCAAGGGTCGAGATTAAATTTCGCTAGTTTGAAAAATTTCGAAAGCTTCTGCCCCCGCCTTTTCCACGCCCCATATTAATCATACCTCTTCGTTTCCTGCCAACGCATCACCTCCCTTATTATGGGATCACACCACGTGTACCACCACGATTCATTACCCTCCCTTTCCCCTTCCCTGTCTATTCCCCTTCACTTCACCACGTGCCCCGCCGCTTCTCGAGCCCCGCGCGCCGCCACTTTCTCGCTCGATTACCCTTTGTAGTGGGCTCTCTTCTCAGTTGGTCTTCTCGCCCAATTACCCTTTGCGGTCGACCCTCTTCTCAGTCAGTCTTCTCGCTCGGTTACCCTTGGCGGTCGGCTCTCTTCTCAGTCAGTCTTCTCACCCGGTTACCCTTTGCGGTCGGCCCTCTTCTCAGTCAGTCTTTTCGCTCGGTTACCCTTGGTGGTCGTCCCTCTTCTCAATCAGTCTTCTCGCTCGGTTACCCTTGGCAGTTGGCTCTCTTCTCAGTCGGTCTTCTCACCCGATCACCCTTTGCGGTTGGCCCTCTTCTCAGTCGGTCTTCTCGCTCGGTCTCCCTTAGCAGGTCATCCCTCCTCTTTGTTGGTCTTCTTTCCTG